TTAACAGTAGCTCAGAAGAAAGAGTTGAAAGAGAACAAGCAAAAAGATTCAAGGATATCATATTTTCTACAATAAATTGTGGTTGATGCAATTTTTTCAAGAATAATGGATGCCACAAGTGGCAAAGAAGCAAAGAAGCGTGGAGTACACTATAGGAAGCGTTTCAAGGAAGTGTAAAAGTACGTACCATTAAACTTCAAACTCTAAGACGTGAGTTTGAATTATTAAGTATGAAGGAGTATGAGACCATTAAATACTATTATACTAGAATTAAAGAGATAATTAGTCAAATGAGAGCATGTGGGGAAAATATTCTGGACAAGAAAATTGTTGAAAAAAATTTAATTTCTATTCCCCACAAATATGATGCAATTGTAACAACAATTGAACAAATCAAGGATCTGTCTATCTTATCGGTGATAAAACTAATAGGTTCTCTTGAAGCATATGAGCAAAGATTGAAAAAATATAATGAAGATTCTGTCGAAAATGTCTTTCAATCAAAACTCAAATTACGGTCTCAGAATAAAAAAATTGGAGGGAAGAAAATTGAAAAAATTTTCTAGAAATAAAGAAAACTCTAGAAATTTCTCCAAGTCTAGTCAAGATAAATTTCCTTCTTGTGGCATTTGCAAAAAGTCAAGTTACTTGGAGAAGGATTGTTGGCATCGTGGAAAATCTCAATGCCAACATTGCAAGAAGTTTGGATATGTAGAGAAAAATTATCACATAAAAAACAAGTATCAAGCAAATTTTGCTGAAGAACATGACCTTTAACAACATCTTTTCTATGCTACCCGAGACTTCAATGATGAAACAAGCGAAAATTGGTATTTGGATAGTGGATGCAGTAATCAAATGGTCAAAGACGAAAACATCTTCAGGGACAATGACGACTCTGGCAAAGTGAAAGTACGATTGGAAAATGACACAATAGTAGAGTCAAAATAAAGAGGCACTGTTGCAGTGGAAACTAAGAAAGGTATGAGACTTATTAAAGATGTCTTACTTGTTCTCAATCTTAAAAAAAATCTCTTGAGCATTGGACAAATGATGAAGAAAGGTTATGCTTTTCACTTCAAAAGAGATACATGTAAAATCTATGACAACAAAAGACGAGAGATAGGAGAAGTAAAAATGGAAAAAAGAAATAGAAACTTTCCTATAAGCTTCAAATATACTATTGATATTTCCATGAAAATTCAAGTTGATGATTAATGGCTTTGGCATAGAGGGTTTGGACACTTCAACACTCGGGCTTTGAAGCTTCTACATCAGAAGAATATGGTGAGAGATCTCCCATACCTAAAAGAGAATAATGAAACTTGTGAAGGATGTCTTCTCGGAAAGCAACATAGATTACCATTTTCAACTGACAGAACATGGAAAGCAAAAGGTTTGTTGGAATTAATCCATACAGACATTTGTGGACCGATGAGGACACCGTCACTAAACAACAACATGTACTTTATCCTTTTCATCGATGACTTTTTTAGAATGACCTGAGTTTACTTCATCAATGTAAAATCAGAAGTCATTAAAATATTCAAGAAGTTTAAAGCTCTCGTCGAGAAAAAAGTGGAAGACACATAAAAGTTCTTAGAAGTGATCGAGGTAAAGAATATAACTCGCATGAGTTTGATAAATTCTGTGAAGATGAAAGAATAGAAAGACAATTTATAGTTGCATATACACCACAACAAAATGGTGTATCAGAAAGAAAGAATCGCACAGTGATGGAGTGATGGAGATGGCGAGATCAATGCTAAAGGAGAAAGGTTTGTCAAATACGTTTTGGGCAGAAGCAGTCTACATTGCCATGTATATACTCAATAGATGCCCAACTAAGGCAGTTCAAGACAAGACTCTAATTGAAGCTTGGAATAGGCAAAAACCATCAGCTAAACACTTAAGAGTTTTTGGATCTGCTACATACATGTGCCAAATCAGAAAAGGCACAAATTAGAAGACAAGACTATACGATGAATCTTATTGGGATAAGACACACAAACAAAAGGTTATAGAGTATATAACTTGCAAACAAAGAAGCTCACCATCAATGGAGATGTTGAGGTTGATGAAAATGCTTCTTGGAATTGAGAAGAAGGAAGAATCATGAGAAACAACATCTTCCTTCCAATACAACAATCCCAAGAAGAAATTCAAGACGTGGCAGAAGATTTAAGTACACTTCCTTTATCTGCATAACAAGATTTTTCACTAGAATCTACTCCTAAGGGAGTAAGATCCTTGGTGGATATATATGAAATATGCAACATGACAATACTTGAGCCTGAATGCTTTGAAGAGGCTACAAAGCAAGAAGTCTAGATCAAGGCAATGGAGGAAGAAATTAAAATGATTGAAAAGAATAATATTTGGGAACTAGTAGATTGCCCACATGGAAAAGACGTAGTTGGAGTAAAATTGATTTATAAAATAAAGCTCAATCCTGACGGCACCATACAAAAGCACAAGGCTAGGCTGGTAGCAAAGAACTATTCATAATAACCTGGAATAAACTATAGTGAGATATTTGATTCAGTTGCTTGTCTAGATACAATTAGAGCTTTAATAGCTCTTACAACACAAAAAGGATGGAGCATTCACCAATTGGATGTTAAATCAGTCTTTCTAAATGGTGTACTAGAAGAAGAAATACGTGGAGCAACCCACAAGGCTTTATAAACAAAGAAAATGAAGTCAAAGTATTAAGGCTAAGAAAAGCACTATATGGCTTGAAGCAAGCTCCTCAAGCATGGTGCAACAGAATTGATTAATACTTCACTAATCAAGGATTCAAGAGAAGCAAGAGTGAGCCAACAATATATATCAAGACTTAAGGTCAGTATGATATTCTTATTGTCTCTCTATATGTAGATGATCATCTACACAGGAAAGAATAAAGAGATGATAAGGGAATTTAAAAAAGACATGATGAAAACATTTGAAATGAGCGACCTTGGCTTGATGAATTATTTTCTCGACATAGAAGTAAGACAATAAAAGGAAGGTACACACTGAGGTTTTATTAAAGAAATTCAAGATGTATGGTTGCAAATATGTGGCTACTCCACTCTGAAAAATGAGAAGTTACAAAAAGATGATGGAGCATCAGAAGCTGGCGTATCACGCTACAAAAATTTGATTGGAAGCTTATTATATCTTACCGCTGCACGACCAAATATCATGTATGCTACAAGTCTGCTATCAAGGTTCATGCAAAGACCAAGTCAAATTCATTTTGGAGCAACAAAAAGGATTTTAAGATATCTACGAGACACAAATCACTTTGGTATATGGTATAAAACTATGAACGATTCAAAGTTGATTGGCTACACTGATAGTAATTGGACAAGATCTATAGATGACATGAAGAGTACATCAGGTTATGTCTTCTCACTTGGATCGGGATTTTTCTCTTAGGCATCTAAAAAGCAAGCAACAGTAGCACAATCAACAGCATAAACAGAGTAAATAGCTGCAGCTGAAGCTACAAGTCAAGTTATATGGCTCTAAAGAATACTTGAAGAGATGGGAAAACAACAACATGGATTTACTACAATTTACTGTGATAACAAGTCAGCGATAACAATGAGAAAGAATCCAATCCATCATCAAAGAACAAAACATATAGCTATTAAATATTACTTCATCAGAGAGGCTGAAGCGACTAAACAAATTCAACTTGAGTACTATTACAGAAGATCAAATTGCAGAATATTTACCAAGACACTACCAAGAACCAAGTTTGAACAGTTACGTTTCATAGTTGGAGTTATAGAAATTTACATCAAGGAGAAGTGTTGAAAAGTGATGCAAATTCTAGAAAGATCAAGAAAATTAAGTTTTAGAAACTTCCTTAAGTTTTAGAGAATTGTAAACTTTATGTAAGTAGCATCTAGAATTACTAAAAAAATATAGAATAATAAGTTAAAGTATAATGTAGGAGGAATCATCTGTAAGTTCCTAGAATATTCTAGAGAGGAATGTCTCATACCTATATATAGGTAGTGACCCCCTCACTTGAAGTGTAGTACTTCCAAGATCAATTACTATATTTCCTCTTACAAACTTTCTCTTATTTGTCCATCTCTTTCTAAAACTATTTTTTACACAAATCTCGTTACTAAACATTCTCTCATATCCTTCCTAAAATACTAACTGAACAATCAAAATAATGAAATCTAGAATGAAGGAACTAATTTAATTGTAAAGGGTCTAATATAAATCTTTACGGTGAAGCAGAGAGAAATATGGATGAAATTGAATCCTCTTCCCTGACTCTTTCTGGTTCCTGGTTTTTGCTTTAAGTGCAATTTTTTCCATCAGTCTCTGTACACGCTGCCTTTGTGTGGTTGTCATCTTTTCCGTTGTATGAAATTCAACAGTGACATAACATCATACACAGATTTCCTCATTTACTGCTCCATTATTACTTTGTTTGAGTTGTACACGTTACATTTCGTATAGTAACTTGTAAGATATTCTTGGCTTTGGGACAGTTCTCGGGTTCACAAAAAAAAAAAATTCTGGTGCATCCCTTATCTTCTGGTAACTTTCAAACATCATATGACAGTTAAGGAATGAGAAGATAACGATATAATTAAGAAAACTAATGAATTGCTGGCTTAGAATTACATGGAAAAAGGGTTGCTGGGAATGTCCTCAGATAACAGAAAATTATGACTCAGATGACAAGGATATCAGATATATTCAATTGTATCATGCCATTGTTCACACTATACTTTATACAAAATACTTGAAAACCTACAGATGTCATATATGAGTTTAGCTGAGCCCATTTAAACCCTTAGGGTCGTCCCTAAAATTAAATTCTGCAGTTCAGATTTTCTACACCATTTGCACAATCATTTTCCCTAGGTGTAACAATTTTTTTAAAATGTTGCATTCCACTGGAAGAATATATAGGTTATAGTCACATAAACTTCTCTATATATAAGTATTTATAACTGGAAAATAAGTGCAGATATACTTACAGTCCTCATGAAGATATGCCAGGCCCTTTGCAGCGCCTATTGCAATCTTTAGCCTCTTGGCCCAATCCAACACTGGCATTCCCATTCCTTTAATAATTCACGTATGATCATGAGAACCAAATGAAATACGGAAATGAAAAAAAACTCCATCATTATATTTTTCAATGAAAAATCAAGGGAAACTCACGTTACCATGCAAGTGATGATGGAGTGTTCCATTAGGAACATACTCATAGATAAGAATTCTTTGCTGTTCAAATATGCAAGAACCAACTAATGACACCAAATGTCGATGATGTAATCGGCTGATGATGTCCACTTCAGCCTTGAATTCCCTTTCTCCCTGTCCACTGCCAGCCTTAAGCTGCTTTACTGCAACTCTTTTTCCATCTGGCAGACAACCTTTGTAAACACATCCAAACCCTCCTTCCCCTATAACATTTTGACTAGAAAATGCATTTGTTATTTCCGTAACCATGTCATAGGTGAAAACTATCTGAGCAGCTGTGGGCTGAGCTGAGCTCGCACTCCCATTTCCATAGTTGTTTGCAACGAAAGGCTGTTGTACATAGTAATGGCCATTAGCACCTGATGGCCAACACAATCAGCATCAAATGTAGCAAGGCAATGAATACTTTTAGTGAAAGACATGCAAGTGAATTTCTCTCTCTACAAAAACCTCTCCCTACTCAAAGGTCAAATTTGATTTGTCACACTTTTCAGAAAAACTACTCATTCATTCCAACTTGTATTGCTGATAACAAAAATGACAAAATGTGATGACAATGTTTGGTAGTTGATATTATTTTTAATTATCCGCGAGAAGAATTGCTAAATATTCTTATTTTATTAAATATTCCTCACCACTGTCACAAATTTAAAAAAATTTGAAGTTACAAATTAGTAACACTTTACCACACATCAAATTGGTTAAGATTATGATAGTTTCTTTCAGGAAATCAAATAATTTTTCCTCAAAAATAAATTTGAATAGTTTGTTTAAAATCTTAGGTTCAAACTACATTATTGTTGTTGTAGAAAAAAAAAATTCATATTATCTTTGATTAACCAAATTCAGCGGTAGCTACGATAAAATGCCAACTTTTATGAAAGAACGGAGGCCACAACACCTGTTACATTGAATCTAAGTTTTTTTCCATACTACAAATAATTCACCTGATTTGACTTGAATATTAAGGGGTGGCATGTAGGCTGCACCATTAGCATCATCTCTGGATTTCTTCTTCTTAAACGCGAGGGCAACAGCTACAGCTACAGCAAGCAAGGCAATAACGAAAAGTCCGGCGACTGTATAGTCAACATATTTTGCTGAATGATCACCAGAAGAGGGGGCGGGAGAAGAAACCGTTGAGTTTGCATGGGAATTAACATGCTTGGCCTTGGGGCCTGATCCTGAACCCATTTCTGTTGATTGTAGATTGCTAGAGGGTCCCGTTGTTGAATAATTGGAGAGTGAACCACGCCAAGTTTGTGAAGAAGGTTTATCAAGGGGAGGCGGAGCATGGAACTGTGGGGATGGTGATGATGACTTTTTACGTGGATAATACGGAGGAGGGGAAGAATTGTCATTTTCCACTGGCAGTTGATGTGGTGGCGGGGGCGAAGGTGGTGGGAGCGAAGGTGGTGGTGGTGGTGGTGGTGGTGGAGATGACAATGGTGACGGTGGTGGAGGCGATGGTAACCGTGGAGGTGGCGGGGGCGAAGGTGGTGGTGGTGGTGGAGATAACAATGGCGAGGGTGGTGGAGGCGATAGTAACCGTGGAGGTGGTGGGGGCGAAGGTGGTGGTGGTGGTGGAGATGACGATGGCGAAGGTGGTGGAGGTGGCGGGGGCGAATGTGGTGGTTGTAGAGATGACAATGACGAGGGTGGTGGGGACGATGGTAACCGTGGAGGTGGCGGGGACGAAGGGTGTGGTGGTGGTAGAGATGACAATGGTGAGGGTGGTGGAGGCGATGGTAACTGTGGTGAAGGTGGTAGGGGCGATGGTAATTGTGGAGGTGGCGGGGGCGAGGGTGGTGGTAGGGATGACAATGGCGAGGGTGGTGGAGGTGATGGTAATCGTGGAGGTGGCGGTGGTGGAGTTAAATCTATAGGTGGTGGGGGTGAGGGTGATGGACTTAAATCGCTTGATGATGATGATGGTGATGGACTTAAATATTTAGATGATGGTGACGGTAATGGACTTAAATCTTTAAATGATGGTGAGGGTACTAATTGACTTAAATCTTCAAGAAATAGTGACGGTGGTGGACTTAAATCTTTAGATGAAGGTGACGGTGGTGATAAATTTAAATTTTCATATGACAGTGACGGTGGTGATAGACGTAAATCTTCAGATGACGGTGACGGTGGTGATAAACTTAAATCTTCAGATGACGGTGATGGTAGTGATGGACTTAAATCTTCATATGGCGGTGACGGTGACGATGGACTTAAATCTTCAGATGACGGTGACGGTGGTGATTGACTTAAATTTTCAGATGATGGTGACAGTGGTGATGAACTTAAATCTTCATATGGCGGTGACGGTGGTAATGGACTTAAATCTTCAGATGACGGTGACGGTGGTAATGGACTTAAATCTTCAGATGACGGTGACGGTGGTAATGGACTTATATATTCAGATGGTGGTGATGGACTTAAATTTTTTGATGATGACGGTGATGATGGATTAAAATCTTGAGATGGTGGTGATGAACTTAAATCTTTTGATGGTAACGGTGGTGAGGGATTTAAATCTTGAGATGGTGGTGATGAACTTAAATCTTTTGATGGTAACCGTGGTGATGGATTTAAATCTTGAGATGGTGGTGATGAACTAAAATCTTTTGATGGTAACGGTGGTGAGAAATTTAAATCTTGAGATGGTGGTGATGAACCTAAATCTTTTGATGGTAACCGTGATGAGCGATTTAAATCTTGAGATGGTAGTGATGAACCTAAATCTTTTGATGGTAACGGTGGTGATGGATTTAAATCTTGAGATGGTGACGACGGTGGTGGTGGATTTAAATCTTGAGATGGTGACGACGGTGGTGGTGATGGGTTTGAACCTTGAGACGGTGATGATCGTGGTAATGGACTCAAATCTTCGTATGATGTCATCGGCGGTGAAGGAGGTGGCGGTGGTGACTCAGAAGGATAACTGTCAGGAGAATCTACATAAGGAGAATCAACTGAATCAGGAGGATCAAGAACATAATCTGAATCAAGAGGATCTGGATCAGAAGAATCTGAATCAGAAGACTTTGGTGATGTTGCTGAATCCATATCATGAGGAATCTTTTGTTTCTCTTCATCAATCTTAGGTGATGGAGAAACATCGCCCACGTCGTTATGATTTGTACCCATCTTAATATATATATATATATGTATAATATACAATATGCGCGTGTGTATGTATTGTCAGAATGGCAAGAAAATTGAAACCCCTTCTCTTTCCTTCTTCGGAGGAAAAGGGAGGTAAAGTGAATGGAATCGAAACAGATTCTGGAAAACCAAACCTAGGTTTTGAGAATCCGAAAAGTAAACAAGAACATGGATTGTGTTATGCTCCAACATTGAGTGGTGAATCTGGATTCGTCGAACTGCGCAAGTTCTGCGAACAGAATTGCCAGCTCGATGCAACGCATTGAGATGGATGGGGGAGAGAGAGTGAGCGGATTGAAGGAAAGGATAGCAGATGAGAGAAAAAAATGTTGGCCATTGGAAAATCATCCATGATGAGCCCTATACTATCTCTGTGTTGCATGGTTTTTTAGGAAAGGAAAACAGACACGTAGATTGTGCTCTTTCGTATTTACATAGATTCTTCCCTAGTTGTTTCTTGTGGTTTGTTTGGCTGCTGCCACGTGTTCTTCTTCTCCCTTTATTTCCGGTTACCGCGCAATTTTAAACGGCTTCATTCACATATCTCTTGTTTCACCCTAGTCCATCACCTTTGCACCATAATAATGAACATTTTTGTATAAACAATATAACTAAAAATAACTTTAAATAGTACTTTATTTAATTTTAAAATTGAAAAGGTTAATTATTATCACATAAAAACTAACCACATGGACAATACAGATTATTACTAAATTTCAATAAAAATAAGCCATACGATAAATAAAACTGGAAATTTATATATACATATACATATATATATATATATATATATATATATATATATATATTTACCGAATTTGTAGAAAGTTTTAAACTTTAAAAATTTAAGTATGTTTATAAATCATTACAATTAAAGTTTAAAGTTCAATAATGTAAGTGTTTCGTTTTTAAACTTCAACACTAAAACTTTACTCCTATTATTAACTTTCAACTATATCAATCTGTACTAAATATCAAATTTATTTACAATATTTTAAGTGAAGAGTCATACTTAATTAAAGACTGATGGAGAGAGTACCTTATTTTCATCGGATATAACATACTTGAAAAAAAGCAACATTTTTTTGCAAAACTCTTTAATATATATGATACATTAACTTTATAAAAACATCAAGTCTACCTCAAATAAAACTTAATTTAAAAAAAAAAATCTAACTATAATCCGTGGAAACTACAAACTTTGTGTTTAAAAGAGAAAAGTAATTAACATACCTTTCTCAATGCATTGTATTGCATACTTTTATTATCTGATACACATTAGCATGAATAATTGATATGCAGTTTTTTAGTTTTGTCTTGTCAAGTCAGTTTGAAATAAAAGTTTTATCTGCATATTACATACAAAACAAATAAATATCAACAATAAAGCAAGAATATACAAAAGAAGAATAAGAGTTGCAAGGATTGAATACTTTATCCATGCACCCACATGCTCTAATTTCAGGTTAAAAAATCCAGTAACAGATATGGGCAATTGATATTTCTTTTAGTGATGAACAAATAAGTCATGTTTTTTTTAGTTTACAAGTTTTATCGTGGTGTTGAAAATACAAATAATGTAAATTAATTTTTCAGATTGAGTAAAAAAGAGAGTTGAATAATATATAAAAATAAGAAAAAAATTATATTAACCCATAAAAATATCCAACACATCAAAAGTCTTTTTATACCTCTTGTCACGGTAAGTTATTTATTCGTCTTGTTACTTATTTCATATTCGGTGCAAATCTAGATTTGAACTCAACGTCTATGAAGTTAAATCCCTCTTCCAAATCGACCATGTTCTAAGTTTCATTGTGAAAGCCATCAAATGATGATATACTATATGAATTTGAGAAGAGTGTGAAGAATGAAACCGGTGACACTATATATCAAAATCATTGACCAAGAGGAGTCTCATAGTTCGCCATAAATGGTGAAAAGCAAGAGTCAAAGATGATTAAAGTGTTAAGGGTTCAATAGTATAAGGATTTAAAAAAAAAAGTTATTTTTCGTCAATGTTTAACTTGAAAAAAAGTGTGGTGATATTTTTTAAATTAAGAAAAAAAAATATCAAAGTTCACATTATCCAACGGAAAAAAAAAAAAAGATTTGGTACGAGGGTTTTTCTTCAACCGACGACCAACTCGTAATTATAAGACACATTCGAGATTATTGAAGATAATATCATTATTAATAAAAGATAATATATAAGAAGATAATTAAATAAATAAAATAATTTTAATAAATTTGAGCTATAAATTATATATTATCTTATTATTTTTTTTATAATAATTATTGTCTTTTGAATTATTATTATCTTTTTAATCTTGTATAAAAACATTTAATTAAGTATTTTTTTAAAATAATATTATTTTTAATCAACTTAAAATTACGTCTCAAAATCTAATATACAAGTCAAACTTCACGATCTTTTTGCCAAATCCTCGAAACCGGTCACAACATATTATTTTTATAATATTATGGTGAAGGATTGATTGTAAGAAATCTTCTTCATCCATATATAGTGCATGATGCTTTATTGTTGTAGTAAGATGGTACGAATATGCAATTTAATTAGTACTCGAAGTCCTGAACATGTTCTATTTTCAGCTCCCAATATTATAATTGATGAAAAAATGGATGCTTCTAACGGGTTAACTACCTGGGGTGGGTAACAACTAGGCTTCTAACACCCGTCTTTCTAAAACATGTTTAAAACAACCTCTACTTGTTGCTATTTAGTAACCCTCTTAATTTTAAATTAACATCATATTAATTTAACATGTTGAAAAACTCTTATTTTTAATTTTTTAACTGCTTCTTAAATTTGTTTGAAAAAAAAAAAGTTGTATAACAGTATTGTAAAACTTTATTAAAAGCTAAGCTAAGATCTCTAGCAATAATAATGGAGATTTCTTAATAAAACAAAATATAAAGTCACCCTTTCATCATGGTTTGAAAGTTAGATTTTAATATTACCAATTATTTGGCTATGTTTTCTTTTTTACTAACCCTTTCTTGAGATCCAACATTCAATATTATAAGTTCCACTTACAGTTTAAATTGACATCACCAAGCACAAGGAACATAAACCAATCAATCACTCTTTTTTCTCTTGGCTTTACTTTCTCCTCTTCTGATAATATTCATGGCACGTCTCCAAATATATGATATAAAAAATAATACATTAAATTGTTAATGCAATATTAAAATTATTTAAAATAACATGCTAATCAATTAAATCAATATTATACTTTTACTCTAAACCCTAACCAATAATATCTCTTTTTTCCCGTATGTTGTAGCCCTAACAAACATAGACTATAGTAGCAAGTACGAGGAATTGATCTATTATGAAATTTCTACCAAAAATTGTGATTTCAAAAATAAATAAATAAAAAATATTTATAAGTAAAATAAAAAATTATTCATTCTATAATGATTTTTTTTTCACTATCTATTTTGAAAAAAGAGGAAAAAAAAAGAATAAAATTCTGAACTCAATATGAATAAATAGGGAGGGAAATTTTATTATTTTATTTTTTTCTTTTATAAAAGAAGTATAATTATATAATGAAACAAATAAATAAATAAAAAGTATTAAGAAAGAGAATATAATCAAATAATTGTGTTTTTTTTTAATTTAAAAGATTAATTAATCTACTTATTTTTTCATTGAATTTTTTAAGAATATTAAAAATCATGTTTAAAACTTGATTTCGACTAAAAAATATTTTCCATTAAAATTGTCTTTTTCTAAATGGGACTTCAAACTATTTTGTAAGAAAACCTAAAACTGTAAAAACACAAATTATTTATATTTCATATGTTTTAAAAATTTCTACGAAAGCCCGCGCTCTCATCTGATTAAATCTTGGATTCTTCACTTTTGAATTGTTCAATAAAAATTAGTTTAACGTTCATAATTTCTTTCTATTCTTCGTTCATAAATAGGGCTCGTGCCGATGCAGATGGTTCACATCCCAATTCCTGTAACCTCTCTGGGAAAACATTCATGCATTCATTAATGTAAATTTATTGCTATTGGAACTTTCACAGTAGTAACTCTCTCAAATTCTATAATTAATTAATTGACGTGTTATTTAATTTATTTCCATTAAAACTTGAAAGTGTGTTATTCTATTTTTCTTTTCATGTGTTTTTCTTGAACTGAATATTTACAGTTTTTTTTGTAAGATTTAATGTATTTAATAAAAATATAAATTTTTGGAAATAAATTAAATTTAATAAAAGAACAACATCAAGTCTAGCTAAAATATTGCATATTGTTCTTATATTATTATACTTTCCCTGTCTTATATAAATACAGTTTAATGTTCTTTAAGATATACTAAGAACTATAAAATATATTATTTTTGGACTAACTTACTAAAATAACCTTATTATTTCAATAAATATATTATTTTAACTGAGATAAAGAGAATATTAATCTAAAGACAAATTAGAAAGAAAAAGAATTAGCATTTCATTGGAAAGTTAGAAGGTCAATCAATTTAGAGGGTTATAACTGTAGTTATTGTAAAATGCATGGGAAGAATATGTAATTTGATTATATATAATTTTGGGGGTAAATTAATACCAACAATGTTACTCTAGTATCCAAAATGAACATTTTTAAATTTTCACATATATTAAAAATAATAAACATGTTATTTGTTGAGACCATTTTATTATAACAGTATCACTCTCAAAATATATTACTGTTATAACTATAAACATTCCATATAATTTATTAAAGGAAAACTAGATAATATAATTAATATTAATTGAAAAATAAACATCCATCAAATTACTTTTTGAAGATTAAAACTGGAATTATTTTGTGATAAAATTATTATAAGAAAATTATTAATTATCGAGGAATAGTTATCAACGGATATGTAATTGTCAAAAAATAATGATTACTAATGAAAATTACTGACTGAAATAAATTAATAATTAATTTTTAACGGATATATTGATCGGTTAATTATTGCATATAAATATATCAAAATATATAAATATATTTATATTTATATATTTTATATTTATATGAATATACATCTAATTATATATAAATATAATTTATTTATAAGTTATTATTAAAAAAATTATAGTAGTTTAGTGGTTATGATATCAATCTCCAATTTTTTAAGCTACTGAGTATATTTAAATTTTATAAAAAAACTTGTGACATTAAAAATTACCAAACATTGTTTTTCGATATTAATTATTATTAAATGCAACAAATACTTTAAAAAAATATATGAGGTACATTCACAATGGCTATTTATTTTGATAGTTATTTGAAACGGACTTTCTTTTTTTGATAATTTTTTAAGCAGAAAATTGTATGTTTGACTTTTTATTACCATTATCAAATGAGAAATGAGAACTATAAATAAATAACACTCAAAATTATTGGCACATAAAAATAATTAAATGGTTTACTAAATATTAATGATACAAGAGAAAGAATCAATCGTTTCAGCACCGACAACTTAATTTTTTTTTTTTAATTATGAAACTGTCCAGCAAGTATTGAATACGCATGTTTTTCTTGTCTGGTCAACTCTATCTTCTTAATTAAGCAATTAAAATAATCATTTAAAGATGACATTTTGAGAGTATTCAACATTTTTCTCACAATTCAATATACAAAGTGTATAACCATCATCACCTTGTGTTTATTATAATTAATAATTTTTTAACTGTTTATTAACTTATTACAGAGGCACAATAAAAAAGATAAACGCATGCCAGCTTGCGTGTGACTGTTCAAATTTTCTACGTCAGAAAAACCCTCCCGAAGAAAAGGAAATATACAAAGCTTCCAATTTAGACCATTTCCTATATTTAAGTTTTGTACACTTTTTTTTATAACAATATTCGTAAGCCTCATCTATATATTAATTTTATATTTATTAATATGGTAATTATTAATTAGGTTGATTTAATATTTTATTAATTTCATACCTTATATAAATTATTCTTAGTTATATTTGAATAATAGAGCCTTTTTTTCATCCACAAAATTTAAACGGATATGTTAATCTGTAATTATTAATAGAGTGGACATACCCGACATCGGTGGCACACAATTCGTGAGTTGTGCTTCCTTGGTGGCTCCTTACCGCGCGTCAACAAAACCTCATGGATCATTCCTGTATTGTATATAAACTCACACTCCTACCTCACCTATCACACTCTCTCTTCACAAAAAACAAAAGGTAATTCGCAGTAGTACTCAGATCAGATGCAACGAGATTCGTTTCGATTCCATTCTTCTTTTTCTTTCTCTTCCAGATTCATCACCGTTCATTTCTACTGTTTTCTTAACTCTCTCTTTCTTATTCTTTTTCTTCTCTATCTAATTCAATTAATATTCGATTCTATAATCACTCTTTCCACCAATTTAATTTCTCACCTCTGCATGCAATGAACGAATTTCTCAAGTTTTGATGTTTCGGTTTCAGTTAATTACATCCGTCGCAGAAGCAAGAAATGGCCGGAGAATCATACGAGGAAGCCATCGCAGCGTTGACCAAGCTTATCAGGTGAGTTTAGGATTATTTTTTATTTTATTTTTTTATATATCTTCAGCAACTGTGTTTAATTTCTCGTACTTTCTTCTCACCACTGCCCCCTCCTTCATGTAATAATGAATTCATGATGACAAAAAAAAGTAACATCATTCGTATTGTATTGCGTCGGTTTCCTCGCCGTTACCAAACAAAACCGCGTTTATTTTGTTTGGACGATGAGGTGGTGGCGTGGGCCCAGCCCTGACGCGTTATTTTAATTGTGACTTGTTTTTTATTTTGGCAGCGAGAAAGTAGACCTTGGTGGCGTCGCCGCAGCAAAGATCAAGCAGTTGACGGCGGAGCTGGAGAGCGACGCGTCCAAGCCGTTTAACCCGGACGAGAGGATCCGAACCGGGTTCGCCCACTTCAAGAATGAAAAATTCCAGTGAGTTACAGTCCATGCTTTGGTCTTCCCCTATTATTACTAGTATTTTGTTTTGATGTTCTTAGAGCTTGTGCCCGTTTACCACTTCATTCATAGTTTTTTTTTTTTTTAATGAAAATAAACATAAAACCATTTAAAATTTGGTTGCATGAAATACCGTTAGTACCCCTTTTTCTGGAACTTGAAACGTGGGTATGAACGAAGTGAGCGGTTATTAAGTTTGAGCACTTATCTTATCGGTATAAGTTTGTGTTTCCGTCGAATTCATTCCGCTTGGGTCCCATCTCGGTTACAACCTCATAATGCCAAGAAACACGTCCTCATATATAAGTGCGATGATAAGCGACAACAGAAGTTGATCCGTGATTAATAAAAATTGACGTGGAGCATCTAATCACCTTTCAACATAGCTATGATATAATTATATACTACTCTCTTTCCTAAATAAATTAGAAGTGTTACTTTATTTATTTATTTTATCAGAACTACATTTTTTTTAAGAAGTATTTATAATTAAAATAATGTAAATGATACATTTTATTGTAAGTGTTTGTAAATATTTTATTAATTTTATAAATAATTAAAGAAACATTTTAATAAATGGAAGACCTGGTTAATGTTATTGATTAAATTTAGTTTGCAATCCTAATTATTTAATTAATTAGGTTTTATAAAATAGATATCACGAAGTATTACTTAAAAAATTTGTTTTTTACAAAATATACTACGTAAAGAGTTCTTTTGACAAAAAATATTCGCTAAAGAGTTAAAAATAATATATATATATATATATATATATATATTAAAAATTGAATTTGTATCACCAAAAATAATGTTATTTTCTGTGAAAAATCTTAAATGGCATTCATTTTAAGGAAAAAAATACATTTTATTTAATATAAAAAAATAAAAAATATATTTCCAATAATTTTGAGGTATTGACTTGTTTTAAAAAAATACATTTAGTATCTAATTGGAAAATTAATTGTTAAAGTTGTAATAATTTTTAAATTTATAAAGGATCTATTATTGTAGTTTATCCTTAAAATTGGATGTAGTTACTCTGATTAGAGCTGCAGCGCTCTTGCTTGGAGGTGCTGGCAAATTATTCACTTTACACATTTCATTTTACTTTGGAATTTAACTAGTAATAGATTACAGTTTTACTGGGTGGCTGGTTTTCCTTTTTTTTTTATTTTTTTTTATTATTATTATTATTATTATTATTATTATTATTGCATTGACTAAGTAATTAAATATAATTATTTCAGGAAGAATCCAGAATTATACGGTGAACTTGCGAAAGGCCAGAGTCCAAAGGTCAGCCAAGTTTTTTGACTCATGACTTGGTTTGCATATTTGTCCATTGGATGACCTGTAGGGTCAATAGACTTTCCCTAAACTATGTAGAATAAAAATAAACTCAATATTCACAATAAGTTCTAAGAATTAGTAACTTATTGCAATAAATTTAAAGTCAAGTTTACTGATAAATTCTCATTGGATGTAAATTATTGATGACTCATTAATTAAGTATCGTTAATTAATTACTTAATATTGTAATGTTACATTTCCCACACTTGCAGTTTCTGGTGTTTGCGTGCTCAGACTCGAGGGTTTGCCCTTCCCATATTCTAGATTTCCAACCGGGAGAAGCCTTTGTGGTCCGAAATATCGCCAACATGGTTCCACCGTATGACAAGGTTTACTCTGTCAATTAAATGTTTGATTTATGTCATGTAACACAACAAAAGAATTCAAATGTATAGATGTCACGAACATAAACCTTACCTCAAATTTTTCGTCAAATGTCATCCATTTCATTTGGTGTTTCCAATCCTCAAGTTTGACTCGACTTTTTGTGTGTTGTTTCAGACCAAGTATTCAGGAACAGGGGCGGCCATTGAATATGCAGTGCTACATTTGAAGGTAAAATAGCAATTCACTTTCTCTATAATAAGATAGGTGGGTGCATCATGCATGTGAAAAGTAGAACGTTTGGTGGCAGAAAAATGGCCTTTGCTTCATTATTTATTGGGAGCCACATGCATCTTATTTTCCCTGTTTCACATGAAAGCTCTGTTATGTTAGGAAACTGGTCCAAAATTCATTTTTTGGATAAGCTTATTAAAGAGTTATGCATGGTTTAGTTGATATATAAGACACAATATCAATATATAATTATTCTTATGACACTTTATTAATACTTACTTTCAGGTATTCATCAAATCACCTATTCTATTACAAATTTTTCTGTGCGAAATGATATATAAATAGTTTAATAATTATCAGTTCACTTTGCCAAAGCAACTAGGAACGAGCAAATACTCAGCCACCACACACTCCTACCCCTTTCTCTCTGGATACAGCATAGAAAACAATTGCAATGTAAAACATTCTTTATTTAATGAATGCTTTATATAATAAATACAGTATAGGAAGATGATTTTAGTATAAAATTTGTAAGACTCATTTTATGTAATGAATCTCATTATTTTTTAAGTTCTAACTAGTAATATAAAATTATTAGGGAATCTGAAAGTCTCACTCTCTTATATTTTCTAGTGTGTACCTTTTCCAAATTAGGTGGTTCTGGTGAAATTGTAACCCCAGTACCTCCTAACCACCACACCTTCCATTCAGAAGCATAAAGAAAATAAATGAGCAAAAGAAAGGGAGAAAATGAGTAGAATAGTGTTAGTGGAGCCCGAATGGATGACAAAATGTCCTTCTTTAAAACTAGGAATAGGCTTTTACTTGTTTCTTTTCTTGTGGTGGTTCTAAAGGGATTGTTACAGGTGGAGAATATTGTGGTCATTGGACACAGCTGCTGTGGAGGTATAAAGGGCCTCATGTCTATCCCAGATGACGGGACCACTGCAAGGTAAAGTATATGCTATTATTGGTTGCATCTCATAGAAGAAGGATTGAATAATTTTTCCAAAAGTATAAGTACTGAAAGTACATATGTTAAAGTTTATCTTATATTTTTATAATCAGAAACTAGAATACATGTCCATGAGAAAATTGCATCTGAAAATTTTAATCTATTTTGATAACTTTATAGAACTTCCAACTAACTTGGTGGTTCACTGACACTTTTTTCAATACTAAAATGTTAAGTAGTGTCGTTAGTCACATGCCAGGCTCCAAAACAGTAAATAAAAAGTTTTAATTTCCAGATGATTACACCTTATCTGAAAGGCGTGAGCCTTTGTTCACATAGTATAATGTTCAAAGGTCATGAGAAAGGAAAGATGTTTATCATAAAATTGATCACATAAAAGATTTTTTGAGGAAGAGAGTACACCATCTATTATTGGGTTCCCTGATGAATTTTGTTTTACTGAATGATCATTTCCATGAATTTAACATTCTACTTAAATCCTCGTGAACTAAGAGAAAGCAACTTCCATAAAGACCTTGTAAATCATTTCTTTCCTCTGTGATCATACAGTGAATTCATAGAGAATTGGGTCCAAATTTGTAACCCGGCAAGGTCCAAGGTTAAAACTAAAGCAAGCACATTAGAATTCTCGGAGCAGTGTACAAATTGCGAGAAGGCAAGTAAATTTTACTTAAGGGGCTGTTTCCCAAACCACTTTGTTATTTTGGGGGCATAATTTGTTTATAGTAAGTTATGTGACACATAGTAGTATAGTAAAAGGGCTTAAAATTATTGGCATTGAAATTTTATTTTGTTTGGCCTTGAATGCAGGAAGCTGTGAATGTATCAGTTGGGAACCTTTTGACTTACCCATTTGTCAGAGATGGTGTTGTGAATAAAACGCTTGCTTTGAAAGGTGCACATTACAATTTCGTTAAGGGTACTTTTGAGCTGTGGGATCTAGACTTCAAAATCTCCAACACTGTGACTGTTTAAGACCACTGAAGCACCCATCGGAAGTGTTCTTAACCCTGCCGTGCATGTTGATGTACATGATCTTCCCTTTGCAAGTGTTTCATAATTGTATAAGAATCCCCTTTCCCCCAGTTGTTTCCCTCAAATCCCCAGAAAAAGAAACGAACCCCCTGCTAAAATAATGGTCTTAGTCTTAACACCAATTCAATAAATTCTGATTTGCATCATTTGATGTTACACAGTTGTTTTTCTTTCTGCAAACTTCAAAACTGATATAGCCATTAAAGTTGAACAAAGCTTATAAATTTTAATAAGTCACGGCTTAATGCAATACTAGTTTATTTTACATTTTCAATCTTGATAAATTTTATATTAACTGTTTTGAAAGATACAGTTATTTATCATGATTTATGATTATTGACAATATAAAGTTTTTATACTAATAATGTATAAATTAAATTCTTAAAATATTAAAAAAAATACTTTAATAATACTTTATTATTCGATTTTTTTTTTCCTAAGTTTGTTCTTCTAATTGGTGAGGAACTGATGCTAATGGATCTAATATAAGTTTCACCATTCATAAAAAAGAGTATTACATTTAATCTAATGTCTGATTTACATGGAATACAAAGTTTACTAGACAGCAAAATTGTCTATCCCTTCTTGTCTAAATCAAGGGATGGGATGTATAACAACCTTTCCAGTGGCTCTGTTCGTTTCAAGGTAAGAGAAGGCTTCAGCAAGCTGGGCAAAGGAGAATGGACCTTTAGGGTCTACAATTGGCTTCACCTTTCCACTTTCCAAGTAAGGGTTTAGTTTCCTCAGAACAGCTCCATTGGAAGTAACTACAAATCTGAAACCAGGTGGGGTAACAGCACCTGTGAGTGCTACCACACTGCCACCTTCTTTCACAGCCTTCACTGCCCTGTCACATTGCCCTGCAAAACATCACCAAGGAATGAAAAACTTACCAATGGCATCATAGACTACATCCAATTAAAATTAATATAGCTGAATAGAGTTTTACCAATGGCATCATAGACTACATCAAATTTTTCTGACAAATCTTCAAAGTTTTCTTTTGTGTAATCAATAGCCAAATCAGCTCCCAAGCTTTTCAATAGGTCCAAATTTCTAGTGCTTGAAGTGGCAGCAACTCTTGAAGCTCCAAAGACTTGCTTAGCTAGCTGTTAGTCATTGAAGATATGGATAAAGGATAAGTGAAGTGTGTGAATTTTCTCAAAGCACTATAAAATTTTAATATTTTTCCATGTGCTAGAAATCTTTAAGCATTCCCTTTGTTCTAGTCAAGTTATTATGTTGTCCCTTTTTCTCATGTGTTCACTTAATGTACCAAGATAAGTCCAAAGCAAAAAAGAAATGTGTATTAGTTTATGAAGAAGAATGTTTGAACTTTGAAGTATTCAAACAATTGCAATCTGTCGTAAGACTGAAGACAAACCTTTTAATCAATAGCATAGTTGTCCAAATAATATTTGAACTGAATTATTTTTGTTGGAAAATGTCAAATGCCTATGCAGCTTATAAGTACAATTTTAAGTCAACATGACTAATTTGTTAACAAGATGGCTGGCTTTTAAGCATTGCCCTCTACCAATAAACACAATCTTAAACTTTTCACTTTCCAAACACTAATGAAATGCTGATAGTAAGATCAGCGATATCAGATGGGATGTACAGAGATGTATTATCAAGAAATGCTATGAACTGAGCTAGTTGAAGCCTTTAGTCAGTACATGAATTGATTTAGTAACTGGTTCATTGTTAAAGAGGCAAAATCTTTATCTGACGTTTGATATCTAAAAGTTATCTGATATATATCATGCAAAGAGGGGACAAACTTTAAAATACTGTTATTGATGTGTTTATTTTTAGCGTGATAGAACCAATTTGGAGAATAAATACCTGAATCACCAGGCTTCCAACTCCTCCAGAACCATTTAGAATAAGAATTGATTTACCAGGAGAAAATCCAGTCCTCTCCAGACCCTCATAAGCAGTCTCAATTGCTAGAGGAAGCGCAGCAGCCTGAGCAAAGTCCAAATTCTTAGGTTTTGGTGCCAACAATTTCTCCTCAACAGCTGTGTACTCAGCCAAAGACCCGAATTGCTTAGGCCCATCTAATGCTTTCTCATTTACATCTCCATACACTTCATCACCCACTTTAAAGTCCTTCACTTTACTACCAACCTTCACCACCACACCCGCAACATCATAGCCCGGAACAGTCTATAGACAAAGAAAACCAAATTTGATTTCATTACGCAGTTACTCCCACTAAATTGTGAAATAAGCTGAAACTTTTCTTTCATCTCCATTCAATTACTGTAAACTTTCCTTCAGGCTAAAAATAACATCTTCAATTCAAACAAACTTAAATTTCACACCCTTTTTATGGACTAGAAGAAACAATTGAGTTAAGATGCCAACTTTTAATTGTACTGTAAGAATAAAATAACCATGCTACTAATTAATGAGTTTAATAACTAAGAAAGTATAGTAAATGTGATTTATAATATGGTTATTGTATAATTTAATCAATTCATTCTTGGATCACTTTCGCAAATCCCTCATAACTAATTGCACTTTTTCCTTGTGAACATTGGAATGGAAACGTTTACCACCTAACATGATTTTATTTCATTTTTCCTATTTCCCATTTGGTCATGATGAATTCCACTCCATTCTCACACTCATAATACAGAGAGAGAAATAAGAGAGAACAGAAAATGAAGAAAGTTTAAAGAAAGTGAATGACCGGAAGAGGAGAATCAGTGGCCTTAAACTTTCCCTGCCTTCTCTTGGCATCAACAGGGTTAAGAGCAGCAGCAACAACTTTGACAAGGACCTGATCCTCCTTCACATCAGGCACAGCAACATTGGAGTCCAGCTTCAAAACATCGACACCCCCATATTCCCCATACACCCATGCCTTCATCTGAGAAGGAACGGGTGTCAGTTTCACAGCCTCAGAAGAAGCAGGTGCAGTAGCCTGAGCTTTTACCAAAACTCTTGCAGGCCGTGCTGAAAAGGGGGCCTTGAGAGGTGTAACTGAGGATCTGTTTTCCCGGAAAGGGAAGGAAAATCTGAGAGAAAGTGGAGAGGTGGAAGGGAGGGAAGAAGGAAGGGAAGTGAGATTTGAAGTTGTGGTGGAGAGTGAAGCACAGAGAGACATGTTTTGCATATCACTTCACACTTATCTCTGCTTCAACCAACCACCCTTTGGTTCGGTTATATCGTTAGTGTTCTGTTTGGTACATTAGCTTCACACACACTCGCTCCACACCACCCAATTCTTGCTTCACAAGTAGTCACACAAAATCACAAAACAAGATCCTCGCTTCTCTTCACTTCTTCCACTGTTATTTTTTTAACTTTTTTATTTTTTTCAAATTATTAGAAAGAAACCTTGAAAAAAAAATTAAAATTTATTTCTTTAAAATTAGTTGAAGTAATCGTTAATAAACTATAAGAATAAGAAGAAGGATAAATCAAATGTATTTTTTAGCTTACTTTAATTTATGTTCAATTTTATTTTCCTAAAATTTAATTAGTTAATTTAATTCTAAACACTAAATACAGAAATTAAAGATAAAAAAAATTGAAATTTCACTTAAATTAAAATATATTTGCGTCACTTGAATTAAATTATAACGATTGAAAATTTACGTAATTGAACCTTGAATATAGCCAGAAAAACCGGTGGATACAGTAAGTGATTAAATAATACAATGTGTGTGTAAAAACGACGCCGTGCCTATTGGTTTGTGTATGTGTGATTGATTATTTTATTTTTTATTTTTTATTTTTTTAAACGTTATGTCTCTTTCTTTGAACAAGTTTCAGGAAATTCTAGAAAGCACTCGACGAAAGAAAAATAGGGAAAGCCTCCAGAAAAATTCTCATATTTTGGAAAAATAATATGCCTGGATAATATTTTTTTCCCATAAACCAGGAAATACAAGTAATTTCATAAAACATTTAGAATAAAATTTATTAACACTGATTTTGAAGATGTGGTTGAAAAAGGAAAGGAAAATGATAATCAATCATTCTAATTGCTAATAGATTATTAAGACAAAACTTTTTTTATTCTTTATTTTATTAACATATTAATAATAGTTTTTAGTTTGTCACAAATTGTTTCCTTAATTTTTTTTTCCAACATACAAAAGTTATGTATCTTTGTTGATAGAGAATTTTGATAATTAAGTTGAAAGTTTTATTATTTGAAAACTCAAAATTTTCACGAAAGTTTTGTTGAGCAAACAAATAAAAAATAAATAAGTATTTTTATAAATAGATCGCATACTGCCAAGATAACAAAAAACAATATTATTTTTAATTGAAAACATGAACGATATTTGTGATACTACGAAAATATATAAGTTATTAGTGTCATTTAATTTGTAACGGGAATAAAAAGTTCCACAATATCATGTTATTTGTGGCTTATCACTTGCGCGTAAGGAGAAATCGAGAGGTAGGTATAGCCTCTATTTGATTGTTTGCTCATTTTGTGCTCTATCATTGCTTAGTTGATTAGAGATTTTTAGGGAGGTAATTCAATCAATTTTTCATAATTTGATTTAAGTATAAAGATTAAAAATATGTTTTATGGTTTAGTTCATTCTCTAGCTTAACAATGTAATAGTATATGAAAAAAAATGCAGGACTACACATAGGAGTGGATTAGAAATATAGGAAGATAACATTTTTTTTGCACAACTTTATATCCAAATACCATAATTAGAAATAATCAATTTTGTATTGTTTTTACACATGATTAATATGATATTATACATCTTGTACAATAATTGTTGAAAAGTAGATAACATTTGTAGATTATAACACTATTAGAAAAATTTTTTTTTACTATAGTTGAAAAAGATTATAACAATAATTTTTGAACCGTCTTTGTTCCAGTCATCATTAAAAATTAATAAATTAATGATGATTTTGAATCGTCATCATAGATTATTTATACGATAATGATTATATTTATAATTGTCGTCATATGTTAAAAACTCTATTTTGTTCCGTTGTAGCAAACCTAGTTGCTCCATCACAAAAAACAACAAACTTAGAAGCTGCTCCATCACAATAAATAGCAAACAGATAAACAATACAACAAACCTATAAGTTATGCCCAACAACTCTTCTCCTTCATTGTTGCTCCTTCACAACGAAAGTTTCATTCCATAATAAATATGTAAACTTTCTCTACCTCCTCATTATTGCTCTTCTAACTTAGTTTTAACGTGTTCAGTAGAATATTTTCATCTAACTCCGCCTCAATAAAACATTATTTTTTATCTCTGTCTCAACAAATGTTGTCTTTAACTGTTATTCTCCCTTACGACAACTTGAGGTGTGTTGGAGACATGTGGTGGAGACATTTATAGTGTACAGTGGAGAGAAACACTTTGTGAAAGAAAGAGGGAGAAGAAGAAAAGAATTTAATCACAATGAACAAAGGAAGAGAAAAGTCGCAATAGAGGAAGAGAAGAGAAAAAAAAGAGAAGAAGAAAAAAAGAAGTGGAAACGCAAAGATAAAATGAACAGAATGGGTAAAGTTTTAAATTTTAATGAGATATACAACGACAGTTCTATCAATAATCGTCATCGTATATGATATATAATGACAATTAGACAGTTGTCGTATGTGACATATAACAACGATTATAAAAGAATAATCATTAAAAGGTTAGACATACGACGACAATTATAAATATAATGACAATGGTTCATTTAAAATCGTTGTTGTATGACACATGCGACGATAGTTCTATATATAATTATCGTCGTATATCATATATAACGACGGTTATGAATTAACCATCGTTAAAAAGTTAAAAATAATTTCAAAATTATCATTGCGTCTTTTTCAATAACGATTCACATATAATTGTCGTTAATAAACGTCGTATTTTCTCTATATTTGTACTAATGTACAAATTGCTTAAAGTATTTGTATCAAGTAGATGTTTTACTATAATAAAAATAGTTTTTAAATCGATACAAAAAAAGAGGTGGTAACAAAATTTGGGATAAATTTTTTACATCAATTGCATTAATTGATGTTGAAAATCACATTTAACATCAATTTTATTGTAATCGATATAGAAAGTCTTTTATAACTTTGCGAAACACTTCTTCCCTTATACAAAATGGTTCTTCTTCTTCTTCTATGCCTTGAACCCTAAACATTTTTTTTCTTTTTATGAAACAATTCTTCTTCTTCTTCTTCTTCTTTGTACTCACCCTCCGACGCATGCTCAACCTCCATTGCGCCTTCCACCGCACCCTTTACCATGTCTCCATGTCTCCCTCCACCGTGTCTCCATCTTGGCCTCCATCACATCCTCACGTTCTTTCTCTTGTTCATCACACCCTTTATTGCATCTCCTTCATGCTTGTCATCATGTCTTTGCAACCCCATCATGTCTTCTGCCGCATCCCATGGCCTCTGTCACGTCACATCACCTTTTGCCACGTCCTCGTGACCCCTTTACATCCTTCAATGTGTCTTCTATCACGTCCTCTACCACATCCTTCATTACATCCTCTCACACTTTGTCATGTCATCCACCAAACATCCTCGCTCTCCGTCGCATACTCACCTTCTGTCATCCTCTCTTATGGATATTCATGCTTAATTATAGTCTCATCCACCATCATGATCTCACCGTTGTCCATTTTTATTTATAGGTGGGAAATGTTACAAAATAACACATTTAAAAAAATAAAAATCAATTTTCTACATCGATTGTAAAAGAACCAATATTAAATATTTTTATTTTCAACATCAATTCTTTTACAACTGATATTGATTCTCTTAATTTTCAATGACGTCTCTTTCAATGATGCACTACTAAAAATTCATCAAATTCATGTGAATTTTTCTGCAAAATTTTTTTAGTAAACAATAGTTACAAATTTTACTAAGAAAAATATTTCACAAAAAATTATTACAAATTTATTTTCAAAATAATTTTTCTAGAAAATATGTAAGAAATTCCTGCAAAATTTTCTTCAATTATATAATTATAATTATATTTTATTTTTCAAATATATATTCGTATAAAATTTGGGAGGAATGAAAATTATTTTCTATATATTTTTTATAAATAAAATTTGTAAAAAAAGATTTAATAATATTTTAAAAAATGGTAGCAAAATTTAAAAATAATATTTTTTTAAAAAGATTTTAATTATTTTTATAGAAAAATAATAAAATATTTTATAATTGGTTACTTTAAAAATATAAAATATATAAAAACAAAAAAACAAAAATTGAAATTTGTTCGTCGATGTCTCTGCTCGTCAACGTCTCTATCTCTTTGCTTCCATTAATAGTATCCAGTTTCTTCTTCATATCTTCTTCTTCGACCATATTACAGTTCTTCTCTTTTTAACCACTACTGTTTCTTCTTTCTTCTTCCGCGTTGTCGACGCAGTGACTTTAATCGCAGTGGAAGACGAAAAATATCACATAAATAGGTCTAACCTTAACCACCGGAGTCTTTGGTATTTTGGTTCTATTTCACACAACTTATTCAACTATCTAGTGTATTCTATAACTTATTGTAGTTATAGTTTTACTTTTTATTACTAGTTTGAATGTTAGCGCTCGTGGAAATGAAATTGTGTTTGATTTCTATTATAGATAAGGGTCTGTTGAAGATTAGGGGAAGGAATTTTCAGAGCCTCCATTTAACGTAATTTGATTAACACTGCAACCTAGGGTTTTCATTTCATATGATGTTTCTAATGTTTTGGAAATAATGTAGGTGGTGATTGAACTGTTTGTTGAATTGCTATTTTGATTTCGGGTTGCGCTGCTCACTGTTTCTCATCCCTGCCTTGTTTTCTCTGCCTTCTGCATCAACCTTTTTAAGACTCATAAGGTAAGTTATGTCTACCTCTTTCATATAATTTTTACACTTTACAACACAAATAATAATCCCTACAATTTTACTTCAATCTTCATTAGTTTAATCAAGATCAACACTAGTGCCTTCCATTTTGTTTAGTTTGGTTTAAAAGACCTGATTAAGATAACTAACCATAGTTTATATGTTGTTTTGGTTGCAGTAGTAGTACCATGATGTTTCAATATATTTTTTCAAAATCAACACACAATGATTATGTCTTTCTCGAGGACTAACTCATTCACAAAATTCAAAACACACATGTCAACACACTAACACATGGTTTTTTTTTTATATTCTAGCTACATGAGTGAACCAAACGCTGGTTTTGTTTTTGTTCTGTTATGTGATAGAGTTTGTGAACCCTTGACTCTTGACATTTTGATCCAATTTTAGCTTAGAGTTAGTAACTGAACCCTTATAAAGTAACATTGGTGAAATACTCAGAAAAACAAGAAACATGAAGCTTAAACCAGGGGAAAGAAACATATGCATGGTTCAAGAATTAACAGAGAAAATAAAAAGAAAGTTGAGTTCAGTTATATCAGCTTTTTGAACACTCATATATGAGTCTTTTTCATTGTTCTTCTTTGCATATAACAGAGGATGTAATATTCTGCAGGAAATTTACGTATATCTCTATCTATATTAATGAGGATGTTATTCTGGTGTGCTTTAGAATAATACGTTGAAGTAATGTAATCAATATCTCCTGCATATGCACCTTTTGTGGATATTTGTTTTAACATGTTTGTTATTCTGGTATGTTAACAAAACTTTACATAATTTTCGCTTCTGTTGCTTCCTGCCTCCAATACTATTAACCTATACCCTCTGTAATGCAAGAAGACATCCTCTTTAAATCTAGTTTAGAAAATTCATTGCTTTATATGAGCCCAAGGATTTTTGGAGTGACCCTTAAGCAACCAAGCTGAAATTGGTTCTTGTTTCATGTTGAAAAAGTTTGTTATTATTTATTTTGCATAATCTAGAAATACTTGTCTTGCAGTAGTGCATGTGCAACTGTCTTGTGCTCTATAAAATCAACATTAATAGTTTACATTTGAAGACATAGACTTGAATTCTTTTCTTGTTTTATTTTGAGTGATATATTTCTCTTGGAATTTGCTTCCTGATTTTTGTTGTATGTGATTATTCATTAGTTAACTTTCTTTATATTTGACTTGACTCTGTCATTTTTGCACTAAGAATATGCAAGCTTTAATTAATAATAATCACAGTATTATTTTTTTGCATTATAGATAAGAGCTTATTATTATTATTAGTTAAAATTCATTCAAAGTTACAATTTTACATGGTGTCAATTCTTATCCAAGAGCTCTGTTCATGATTTCACTATGCCTAACAAATTTTAACCAGTGTTAAAGTGTGTATTAGGAGTATATTAGAGAGTGAAATATATATTGTCAACACTTCTCTTAGTTGAATTGAAATGGATTCTTATCTATTGCATAATGAATAATTTATGATACTTAAGTGTAATGTGTGAATGTTGGCAGATATCTAAAATTACTGATGAAGGTGTCACTACTTCTCACCATTCTCTTTGAAAATGTATTGGGAGTTCTCTGCCTTCAAGAATCCAACTGTGGGCGCTGAAGGTTCATGGTAGCTGACTCACTCTGACATGAAACAAAATTTTAAAAGTGACTTGATGTTTTTTTTTATATCCTTTTAGCTTCCTATGGTGGTTGAAACTGTTCTGTTTCATTAGAATTTATATTCCAGTTTCCTCTCAATTGCATACATAAACATCCATGCGGTCCACCTGTTTGAATTTTAGATTAATCATGCTAAGAATTTTCATTTCTTATTTTCCTTGTTAAAACTAAATGCATAATTGGTGTCGAAAAAATGTTTTCATTTTGTTTTAGATTTAAGGTCTTGGATCACAAAGGACTTTTAAGAAAAAAAATTATAAAATAAAATTAGCTTTTACTTTGCAAAAATATTCTTATATACTTTTTTTTGTATAATTTTGTTTTAGTACAGAAAAGTTAATTTATTTAGTTTTTCATTTTTCTAAAAAAAAAATAAAAATAAAAATGGGAGAAGATCGCTTTAAAAAATATGCTTATTTTTGTATGAATTTTTATGAAATGGTAATTAAAATGAATATAATATAATATAATATTTTATAATGATCTATTGAACGGTTTTCAATTGAATTAAACAACCTCTAACTGATTGTGCACTACACTCGAATGATTAAACTTCTCTTTCTTCTTAAGTGTTCATATGAAAATGTTCGATTCACTGTTTACAACTGTCATCTTTTTTCACTTTTTTAATTATTCTCATATTTTTAATTTTTGATTTCATTTTTTAATAAATACTTTAAAATATATTTTATTTAAAATAATCCACAATATTTCTTTTTCTTTAAGATAAAGTTTAGGAGATTCGCAATGTCATTTTATAAAGCTAAAACCTAAAAAAGTATTGCGATTCCCATTTGACATAAACCAATTATAGTCTATTTTGTTTATAAGAATCATCTTTCTTGACCACTTTTTTTATAATATATGGTTATAATTTGTAACGTTGATGTTTCTTTTTAAGTTGTTGTTTTGATAAGAGTTTGTAAAGACCTTTAAATTTCGTATATGAAGTTTACAGGTAAGAATAATTTTAATTTCTTGTTCAAAATAGTTATATGTATATTATTAATATTAATTTTTTATATATAATAATTTTAGGCATTTTCGAGTCAATCGTATAATGGACATATCTGAACGTTGAACATGGATGTATAATAGGCTTCTTCCTGGTCGGGAAGCATATACAAATGAATTTTTAAGTGGTCTCGATGTGTTTATGACTTTTGCTTGTCAACAACCAAGATTTTTGATTGAAGGAAAAATAAGGTGTCCATGTAAGAAATGTAAAAAATGAGAGGTTTTTAATTTCAAATGAAGTAAATGTTCACATTCTCCAAAAAGGATTTACATTTGAGTATTGGTATTGGACATCTCATGGAGAGAAAATCCCTCATACTAATGTTAATGTTGATATGCATTGAGTGTCGAGTAATAGTCACCCATGGGGTTCTAATAGTGTTAATAGACATGAAGATATGGTGTTTGATGTTGCTAGTCTTAATCATGAGCAACATTTTATACCAAATGAAGAGGAAACTCCAAATATGGAAGTTGCCAAATTTTACAAAATGCTAAATTCGGCTCAACAACAATTATGGTTGGGATGTAAAAATACATCAGAGTTGTATGCTTTTATTACGATGTTGAGTATAAAATCTAAACACAATATGTCGCAAGCTTGTTTTAATGACATCATGAAATTTATGAAAAAGTCAAACCACCTGGAGAATCTTATTCCTTCCAATTTTAGGGAAACAAAGAAACTTGTTGTAGCAGTACTTGGTTTATTGAGGATAAAAATAGATTGTTACATTGATGGATGTATGTTGTATTACAAGAGTGACAGTACTTTGAAGGAATGTAAATTTTGTAGAAAGCCTTGATATAAAACACCTAATGAATGCAAGAAAAATCCTAAAGATGTTCCCCATAAGAGATTGCATTACTTACCACTCATTCCTAGATTACAAAGGTTATATGCTTCAACGAGATCTGTAGAAATTTGATAAATTATATCCTGAATTTGCCTCAGAACCTCGAAATGTGAGACTTGGCTTGTGTACCGATGGGTTCACTCCTTTTAGCCAATCAACAATACCATATTCTTGTTGGCCAATAATTGTCACACCATATAATCTCCCTCTAGAATTATGTATGATGACTCCTTATATGTTCTTGACTTTGATCATTCCAGGTCCACATAATCCAAAAGCTAAAATTTATGTGTATTTGCAACCATTGGTAGATGAATTGCAACAATTATGGAATAATGGTGTAGTAACATATGATGCCTCAAAAAAGCAAAATTTTCTATTGAGAGCTGCATTATTGTGGACAATAAATGATTTTCCTGCATATGGGATGTTATCTGTGTGGAGTACTGTTGGAAAATTTGCTTGTCCAATATGTATGAAAAAAATCAAAAGCTTTTTCACTAAAAAATGGAAGAAAAATGACTTGATTTGATTATCATCGTCAATTTTTACCTCAAAATCATGTTTTTAGAAGAAATAAGGATGTTTTTTACAAAAATAAAATTGAGAAAGATGAGTCTCCTCCTAGATTAAGTGGTGATCAAGTATGGGATATGGTCTCTAACATTCCTAAGTCAACTGAAGTGAAGATATGCAATGTACTTGGTCATGGACATTCCCATAATTTGACAAAGAGAAGCATATTTTGGGATTTGCCATATTAGAAACACAATTTAGATGTTATGCACATAGAAAAAAATGTCTTTGAAAATTTGTTTCATATTATTATGGATATCAAAGAGAAAACTAAAGACAATGAGAAGGCGTGATTGGACTTGGCATTGTATTGTAATAGAAAAGAGTTATTATTAAAAACAAATCCTAATGGGAAATGTATAAAGCCTAGAGCCAAATTTTGTTTATCAAACAAACAAAAGAATGATGTGTGTGAATGAGTGAAGGATTTAAAGATGCCTGATGGATATGCTTCCAACATTTCTAGATGTGTAGATACAAAATGTACAAGATTATATGGGATGAAAAGTCACGATTGTCATATTTTTATGGAATGTCTTCTCCCAATAGCTTTGAGAACTCTTTCTGAACCCATATGGAAGCCCATAACTGAGCTTAGCAAATTCTTCAGATATTTATGTTCAAGTGTGTTACATGAAGATCATTTATTGCAAATGGAACAAAATATTCCTATAATATTGTGTAAGTTAGAACATATATTTCCACCTGCATTCTTTGACTCTATGGAACATCTACCAATTCATTTGCCTTTTGAAGCTAGGATGGTGGACTCGTTCAATTGGATGTACCATTTTGAAAGGTAACATTCTTTTATACCCAATATCATTGTACAATTCACCAAATAATTGATTACATTTTTTGTACATAGGTTTCTAAATAAATAAATAAATAACTGTGAAGAACAAGAGAAGCATGGAAGGGTCCATTTGTGAAACATATTTACAACAAGACATCTTATTTCAGTTCTCATTATTTTGCACCTCAAACTTGTGTGAATGAGGGAGTTCATGAAGACAATACAGAGCTAACATTATCCATCTTTAAGCCATTTGGACAAACGACGGGTAAATATAAAGAAAGGTGGCTTCATGATAGAGAAAGGTTAGCTGCTCAATTGCATGTTCTTTTGAACTGTAATGAGATTAAACCATTCATTGAGTAAGTGTCACATATTATATAATTGTCAATTTTAATTCATTTAACAATAGTCATATACTTTAATTATCCTTTTTTGTAGTTTATATGTACAAACTTTGAAAGATACCTATGGGAATCTCAATGATGATATCATTGATAAACAAATAGAAGCTGATTTTCCACGATGGTTTGAAGAATATGTAAGCTTTGCTTTGATTAAACAAATTAATTTGATAGCACATTTTATTAAGTTATCTAATTACAACTTTTATTTGAATAGGTAAAACAGAATCACCAACTTAGGTTACAAAATTCAAACTTCTATGACTTGGCAAAGGGACCTTTGAGGATAGCAAAGTTGTGGCCAATTTATTTTGTGAATGGGTACAAATTTCACACAACATCATGGGGTAAAGACAGAACGACATATAATAGTGGAATATGTGTTAGTGGAATTGGACAAGGTGAAACAAGTGATTATTATGGCGTTCTTGTAGAGATATTAGAATTGGAATGGCCAAGTCAATCACAAAAAAGAGTTAGTTTTATTTTATTGTGATTGGTTTGATCCTTCAAACCATGGGACGAGAACACATAAGCAATATAAGATTGTAGAGGTAAGAAAAAGAAGAAAATACAAAAAATTTGATCCTTTTATTTTTCCAAGAGCTACAACTCAAGTTTAGTACTCATCTTCATCTCAACCTCCACCTCCACCTTCACCTTCCCATCTATCTCAACCTCCACCTCCTCCTTCATGTCAACGTCGACCTTGTCCACCTTTATTTCGACCTTCACCTTCACATTTATCTCCATCTCCTCCTTCAACTCAGCCTCAACCTTGTCCACCTCTATTTTGACCTTCACCTTCACATCTATCTCAACCTCCATCTCCACCTCCTCGTTCATCTCAGCCTCCACCTTGTCCACCTCTATTTCGACCTTCACCTTCACATCTATCTCAACCTCCACCTCCTCCTTCATCTCAACCTCCACATCCACCTATATATTAACCTCCTCCTCCACCTCCACATCCACATCCACATAGGCCCTCCCAATATCAACCCATCCCTACTCAACAGGTCTTTCAAATGCATGATTTTCAAGTGGCAAATGAAGCTCCATCTTCTTCGTCTAGCCATGTTAGTGGAGACAATAATAGGAAGAAAATCTTAATACTTCCAGAAGGCGATGGGTAAGTAACTTTTTTAGTGAATTATTTTAATTTTCTCAACATTATATAATTTTTATTGTCTTATATAGGTTTAATCAACACAAGTTGGTAATGGGGACGATTGCTTCAATCATTCGCTCTAACTTGGAAGAGCCAAGCCATCTTGGAAGAAGTTATCCATGGATCAAAGGGAATCTTGGTTTGATATATTTAAAGTAATTACTTTTTTAAATTTTGATTAATAGATTTTATTTATTTTTGTAAAATGTCTCTAGTATAATCATTATTTTTTTTTTCATTTTTCTCAAAAATAATGTAGTCAAAATTTTCTTGGCCACCTCAATATAATGACATGGTGCGACGTAACTTTGAGAGAAGAGGTGCATCTAAAATGTCTCAGTTAATGCAAGATGCTAGAAAATATCTAGAGAAAAAACCCATTTGGATGGGAGAGAATGTGTGGGAACAATTAAAGACACATTGAGAATCTACAAGTTTTAAAAAGAAGTCTGAAACAAATAAAAGAAATCGGGTAGCTTTGGATGATGCATCTCTTCATACATGTGGATCAATACCTCATCGCTTACATTGGAAGAGAATGATATTATTACTTTACTTTGTTTTTTTATAATTTACATTTTAGAATTAATAACATTAAGCTTTCTTTGTTATCAGAAAGAGGAAAAAGGAATAGACCCATCATTGACTGAGTTTTATGTTTGTACACATCGGAGAAAGAAGGATCAAAGTTGGGTTGGTCCTCATACCAAAATTGCTTTTGTAAGTTTTCAATTTGATAAGCACATTGGTAGTGATAAACACATAGTCAAATATGAAAGTAGTTATCTATTAATTAGCTTTGCATTTGGGTTAAAGAAATCAATATTACTCTACACATACATTTCTTTAATTGATTGAAGAATTTGGAAGGGACCGAGCTTAATGGCTAGAGATAATCAAAGTTTTAATGGTAATATCGTCTATTTGTCCATGGCTTTTCTTAATATTTGCCCCCTTTAATACTATTACGAAGCAGACTTTTGATTAATGTTAGGATTTTATCGCACAAAGGCTCTCTAGATTTATCATTGTGTGTATCTCTTTCACAATAAACATTAAATGGTTGCCACCAGGTTGACATATTGTTTGATCTGAAATACCTGCCCAGTGGAGAAGATGATTGATATGATAATTAGGACTTAATACAAATATTTATGGCTCCCACCAGGTTGACATATTACAACATTACTATGTAGGAAAGAGACTATGCTTTTTTTCAATGAGGATGACCCTGATATTTTGGTTGATACTCAGTAGGCACTGAAAAGTAAAAATAAAGAAATCAAGATACTAAGTTTATGTAAAACTGCTATTTCATTTCTTTATTTTGAAAGAATGACAAAATATTTTAAAGAATTGAACATTTTTCACTCACTTTTGTTATTTATATATTTTTACTAAGTACCTTTTTCATTTGCAGGAGAAATTTGAACAAAATAAAAATGAGTTATTAACTCATAGTTTTGGGGAGGATGCAATTGATGGTGAACAATCCATGAGCCAAATGCCATCAGATTTGGATATATGGATTGATTCAGTTGGAAAAAATAAGGGAAGAATATTTGGTCTTGGATCTCTAGTCAAAATATTAATCATATCTTCAACTAAGAAGTCAAATTTTGAAAATGTTGATGCTTTAAGGAGTCAAATTCAAGCCTTAAATGAATCATTACATAGGCAATAACAAGAAAAACAAGAAATGAGACAAGAGTTACAAAGACAAAAGAAAGATAAGAAAAAAAATGAAAAAATAGTTTACTAAAACTAAGAATCAAGTAGCAGCCTTAATGCATCACTTAGGGTTTGTTGCATCTTCTTCTTTACCATCTTCATCATCTCAACATAGCAATGAAAATGATGATGATGAAAACAGTGATCATATTGAAGATGGTAATATTCCAAATTTGATTCTTAAGTTATTATAACACTTACTGAATTATTGAAGGTGATAATGAAATTGCAAGGAATTAAAGATATGATGTGATTTTGACAACAACAATGATTTGCTTTGATGCATTTTTTTACAAGGTTTTAAAGTTTTGAATTATTTATATTGTTTTAACGCTTTAATATTTGAGTTTAGTCATTCACATTTTTTCATTTGAATTTCAGGATTAAAGATTTGATATGATTCTGACAATAACAAAAATTTGCATTGCAATTGTTGGTCTTTTGTTATTCAGATTACCTAAGAAAGATCATCGTGCAGGGAAGATCTTTCAAGGCTAACAAGGTTGGAGATATTCTACCAAAATTTGTGCAAGTAAAAATATATTTGTAAGTAATTATAGATTTAAATTCTTAGTTAATTTTGAACTCTTGTTATTGTTTGCTATAAATGAAATATAAAGTATAGTCTTAAAATGAATAGTAGTAATAGTACATTAATTTTAAATAATAATATTGTTTGTAGGAAATTTGGTGAACTTTTCCTGCCAGGTGTTGCATCATTTCTGTTTTGTAATTTTTCCTCTATACTGCCCTTCTCAAATTAATACAGACCAAATTGTTTACTCAACAATGGAGAACGTAGTTATTTTGAATACCTAAGAACTCAACAATGCAAGGGAACAAGGTTTTCCGTATAAATGAATCTTATGTTTCAAGACAATCTCATGTTTCCAAACGTTGATAATTTCATTTCATGTATTTGTGATAATTACATTCATATAATTGTATTTTACTTTGTTTATTTTTTGTCTTATAATTCATAGGGATCATGTTGACATAAGACTAAATAATTCTCTTAAAAAAACATTTCACATTAATTTTGTTTTTAGCTTAGTTTTTTAGTCGAATAAACAAATAATTTTTATTTTATAATCATTTAATTATGTAATAAAATAAAATATATAATAAATATTTTTTTGTTAATTTCATATATATATATATATATATATAATGTTAAATTTATACAAATTTTTTTATAGATGTTCTTGAAAAAATAACCTCATAAGAAATTACCTGCGAATTTAAAATTAGCGAGAAATTTCTTGTAAATCTAAAATTACCAAAAAATTATTTGTAAATTTAAAATTACTTGCGAATTTGAAATTGGTAAAAATTTACATGCAGATTTAAATTGCAAGAAATTACACACAAATTTAAATTGCATGAAATTATATGCAAATTTAAATTTGCAAAAAGTTAATTACGAATTTTTTCACAAAAAATTTTGTAAGAAATTTTTGTGAACATTAAATCCCTGGATACGAGCTAATAAAAATTTGTATGAAAATTCACAAGAAACTTATTTTCTGTGAATTTTTACAAAATTTTGGTAAAAAAAATCCCATAAAAATAAAAAATTTCTAGCAACGGTTCTAAAACTAACATTGTATACCTGTAGAACCAAAGTTGATTATCTTAAATTTCTAGTAGTAACTGGTCAAAAACCAATATTGTATGCCTTATAGAAATGATATTAAATGTTATTATTATACTAGTGTTTCTTTTCTTCAAGATGCTAATGTTTATTTTAATGTATTACTGTATACATTTTTAACCATTTAAGACTTAATACATTTTAATGTATTACTATATATATTTGAGACTTTTCGTAATGTCATAAAAAAAAGGCAACCTGCAAAATAAAATATAACATGAGGATAAAACACATGATATGTTAATATATATATAAAAAAAACCTTTAAATTTGAAGTTGTGCTCGTCGTTGGTTCATAGTATAAAAGTCATCAATTATCATATCTGAAGTAAATTTTTCTGCAATCTCTTTCTCAATATATACAATCATGTAATCTGTAAGAAAACCATCTTCCATCCTATTGCGCAACCTTGTTTTTATAATTTTCATAGTTGAAAAAGCACATTCTGTAGTTGTAGTTGACACTGGAAGAGTCAACACAAGTCGTAATAATCTATCAACAAGAGGATAAAAGGCAGATTTTCCACTCTTAACTAATTTTTGACACAATTCACCACTAGTGGACAAACTTTGAAATTTAGTATCATTGAGCACATCAAATTCATAATGTTGCAACTCATATTCCAACTGGATCTTTTCTTGATCAGAGAAATCTGATGAGTAGAATTTATTAACAAGGTTACAAATATCACCAATACTGAATGACTTGAATGCATCTTTAGGATCCAAAGTTGTGCTCAATTTAAGAAGCTCAGTTGCTTGCTCATTGAATCTGTTGTTCAATCCTTTCAATTGGTAATCTATAACAGTATTAAAGACATTTATGCGATAATGATACTCAACTGTCACATAATCCTTTCTTCCACGTGATCGAATAATGTCACAGAAAGAAGCACTCATGTCAGGAATAAGAATACCTTAATTATTACAAAAATAAGTAACTTTTCCAATTAGTGCATCTCAACCAAAATCTCGTAACTTTTAAATTGATGATTTTGTGCTAGAAACCAAAGACATAACATTCAAAATATCTTGAGATTTTTGTTGCAAAGCTTGACAAAGTTTGTCGATAATTCCCATAATACCTTTCATCACGTGTAAAACAAAAACAAAGTCAAAAGAGATCATTGCTTTAAGAGCAAAAGTAGCATTACCTCGTTAAGAATAAGTAGATCCTTTAATGACCAAATCTTCAAGGACCAAATTAGTTGCATTGTACAATCGAAAAAGACTACATATTGAATTGAAATGGGAGCTCCACCTAGTGTCTCCTGGCCTTTGTAATGTGCCAATTTGATTAAGTCCTCTTCCAATCTCAATCTCATCATTTGAAACCAAATGAGCAACTTCATTTACAAATGCAGC